TGAGGGTTTTTTTGCTTATTTACTTACGGCTAATGGGGATGCAGTCTTTTCAACGTAATGTACTATGTAAAAAAGATAATGTTTTCAGTAATTTTTTTAAAGTTGATATTATCTTTAATTTTTTTCTCTTTGCTGAACTGAGGTAAGAACAAGGGCCTTGAAACATATAAGTGTCTTCCTGTGCCTTTACCACTTAATTATGCTAAGCCATCTGTAATCCAATGTCCATTTCCTAGGTTAAAAGTGATCCAAATACCAAAGAAACTGGTCAACTTTCTTCTTTATTCCAAATTTTTACAAGTGGAATAAAAACCCACAAGACACCAAAACCAACAAGAAGACCCAACAAATCCTATGGTACACACAACGACTCTGAAATTCAAAGGATCAAAACCAACAAAGGTACCATCAATCCAGTGGAAAGCTAGAGATCATGAAGATCACATGAAAAAGTTCAGTTTGCAACTGACTTTACAATGTGCCTTTTTTGTTGTTGTTGCTTTTGTTTCATTCAAAGAACAACAGTCTGTAGCAAGATCAAGATTTTCATGCTTTCTTGCTCATTTTCTCTAGTTCCTACAAGTTCTTTTTATGGACCTGAATTTACACTTTTTACGATGCTATATCAAATATGCAAATGGGTTGTTAAATACATGCCACAGAGGGTTTTTAAAGCTTTCAGTGTAATTATGAGGTTTTAATACTAACACACAGAAAGAAGAAAATTAGAATATTCACAGTACCTATAATATGATTTTTAGATGAGAAAAGCTTATCCAGAATTCAGAGACTATTCAAAGGAATGTATTAAGCAAAAAAAGACATCAAATATAAGCCAAGGACACCCAACTGCAAAAGAATTTAAAGTTCACACTAAGCACTAACAAAGCAGTTTCACTCTGAAACACCAATAAAGGGTTTTTCACTTAGTTCTTTTCTATATTGAGATCTCTTGCACATATTTTTAACACAAAACTCCTGTTTTAGTGAAAAAGTCTGAAATATTAGTATCCTAATGTGTTATAGAAACTTCCTCCCTTTTCTCTTGCTTGCTCTTTTATCCCCACATCCCTAGAATAAAAAGTGGCTGAAAGGCAGGGAAGACATTCCCTTTCAAAAGCTTTTGTGGAGGGGTTTAGGTACAAGTGGCTTTAAGATCCCTTTTCACTACAAAATCTCAAAGTAAATTTATCTTTCCAAAATCTCCCTTCTTCATAAAATGTTAGGGGATGGTAATCAAACTTCCATTGCACTACACAAATTAAGACCCTTTGACAATGTTGGCAGTAAAAGCATTTTGGGAAATGAGAAAGGTTTCTCAATTCTTTTCAGTTTGTATCAGCACATCTCTCCTGCTACTAATTCTCTATTTGCCTTGTCAACATGATCCATTCAAATGGCTCCTCATCCTTTTGGTGCATCATCTGCAGCTCCTCTGCAGTATTCCTTCCTCCTTTGTGGATTATCTGCTTACTCCAAATATCTCTTTCCAGTCTCTGTGTGGATAGTCCTCTTGATTGTCTAGTGCCAGAAACCTTCTTGGAAAAAACTGTTAGGCAAAGAGCTTGCCAGAGATTTGGGTTAATTAGTGAGAAATGGTACTGAAACAACTATTTCCATTAAAAAAAAACCCAAGAAATACAAACAAGAAGAGAAGAATGCAGCAGCAGTTTTCTGTTCGTTTTCTTGTTCTTCTTAAAAAACTGAAGTGTCTTTGAGTAATTTTTCTCTGTAACTTTTTTAGAAAGAGTAGGTTCCATTCTGATTGAGGGCTGACCACTTGTGGAGGCAGAATACTGGCTCAGCTCCAGCACTGAGTGGCAACTCCAGCTGTTGTGCAGAGACCATCGTGCTTAGCAAATGCATATATACACAGTGGAGTTACTGACTGTCAGGTTTACAGTGATAGAGGAATTCCCCAAAGACAGGCAAGGTCTTAACCGGCCTTTCCAGCTGTGACCTGCGTTCTGACCTGAAACTCCTGTAAGGTACAATCTGTTGAAACACATTCTCTCCACCCATTTTCCATCACATGGACAACAGTGTTTTCCTTTTGCTCCAAAGAAACATTTGCCCACAAACCTGCTAAATAAAGTGTGGGATGGCACTCCATACGAGCAAAAATCAGATCCTGCAGGGGCTGTGTGAACACTGAAAAAGTGTAATTGAAAGCAATCAGAGACAGATTCAAATTAGCTTTACTTCCTCCTCTCCTTTTTCCTAATCACTTAAAAAAATGTTTAAAATAGCTCCTTTTTTGCTTCCAGAGGTCTAATCCCTTTCTCATATACAGTAGTAGCACAGTGGTGAACCTCTACTGAGTGTCTTCAGATCCTTATCAATGTAAACAAGAAAGGTTTTTTTGCCCTATTAGTTCATTGACAGCAGTCTTCCCTCACACAGAACTTTCTGCAGAAGATGACGTCATCCATATACTGGATGACGTGCAGTCTGCAAGTATAGGAAGCTGGGAAAGAAAAACAGAACTAGAACTGATCTGTAGGATATTCAGGAACAGAACTAAGACAGAAGGAATGACGGAGCAGTTTCTATGCAGGTGTTTTTCTTTTGAAAATTCCATCTTTGCTCTTTGATAACGAAATGCCCTGGGAGGGCTTTTTAAACATATGAAAGGGAGTTTTCATTGGAACACATTTTGGGGGAAAAAAAAAAAACAACAACAAAAAAAAACAACATAAAAGAACATTAAAAAAGCTTATTACCCATTACACACCCATCCAGCATATAAGCCATTCAAATGAGTTCAATCAAGCCAATTTGCATACAGAGCACACAAAATGGGAATGCAATTTGCAAATTTTATTGTAAAGTAAAGCAATTCTCATGTCAGTATTCACAGTCTTTAAAAGGAAAATTCTCTATGCAGTTGAGTATTTCACAGAGAAGACTGCGGATAGATAGTATTCATAAAATACATTTTATCTAAATTGCTAACTGTCTTTAGCAATAAAACCATCTGAAATAGATGTTGACAAGTGGAAATTATATTAAAAACTCTGCAAGAATTCAACACATTCAGAGCTATGTTACTGTAATTTCAATATTCTGCTATATCTTTGCTAATTATAGAAAGTGTGTTTGCCCCCAGTTGCAATTTAAAATAGCAAGACCTACATTTTCTGTATCCCTTTTGACCTCAATGGAACTTAAACTTAGGAAAGACTAAGAAATCAGCCTGTATATGTAGGTAAAAGCCAGAAAAATGCAAAATTACTCAACATGGCTAATGCTACATATTCCATCACAAAAATAAAAAACTGCATTTTTGGGATTTGGGGAAGATCTTAATTCTTAGTTCCTCCCTTCTTTCTCCTTTGTGACAATTTATTTAGTTTTACTTCTTCAAGATCCCATTTCAAATATCCTGACATTATCAGTTCTTACCTACCAAACCCATGTTCAAGTTCTACTTTTTATTTCTTCCTCTCTGGCTCCTTAACTTCTTTGCTTTCTACTCGGGCTTTTTTCTCCTTCATCTGGGACCAGCCTCTGTCAAATAGTACAGAAGAAGGTCAAACTAGCAATATGACAGTGGGAAGGACACGTTCCTCATCTTTGGGTACTAAAGTTACATTGTGGTGGCTCATGTGTAAAAATAACCTCTGTTCCAAACTGAAATTTTCAACAGCTTTATAATTTAGGGATATTCTTACAATTATGGAAGAAAAACAAACCTGTAAAACCAGGTCTGGTCCTCAGCCTAGCTACAATATTCTGCTACAAATGGCATCATTCTAAAGAAAAAGCTATGAACATGGGCTTAAAGTCTCCCTAACTTATTACCAGAAATAAAACAACCATGTAACCACAATCATTTGGAAAACAGTCTTAACAGAAGCAGGTTTGGAAAGTTGTATAAATAAAAAAAAAATAATTAGAGCAGAAGCACATTATGATACAGGACCACATGAGCTCATTATTAACATCCCTTCCTCCAAATGAAGACCAGCCTGAGTAGAAAACCACATTGCTTAACAGTGAAGATATATTTATAAACCAACCACAGATTAAGGTCTCTTGCATCCAAGGGAAAGCACAAGACACAAGCAGAGGAAAACTCAGGTCAGGAGGGAGCTCAGGAGGTTTCAGTCTAATATATTCCTCAGCTCCATCAGCCAAGGAGTTAAACAAGCACTCCAGGAAAAGAGTTCACTGCTCATCTGTATTTTGGGCAAAGGTTTCCTTATGGCCAGTCCCAGCCTGTTGTGTCCTTCACCCTCTCTCTGTGGCCTGCTGAGGAAGCCTGGCTCCAGGCACAACAACCCCTTATAGGCAGTGGGGTCTGCTTTAAGAGCCCTGGAGCTGCCCCTTCTCTAACCAGGCCCAGTCCTCCAGCCTCTCCTCACGGGGCGAGTGCCCTAAGCCCAACCACATCACTGGCCCCCTAAGTTCAAACTGATTTATTTCTCACATTAAGGAATCCAAAACTGCATGCAGTATATGGATGTGGTCAAAAAATTCTGAGCAGGAGGGGAATTCCATCCAGTGACTGACTGGCCACATTCCTGTTGAAACAGCCCTAGATGTGTTTGATCAGCACATTGCTGGCTCATGCTCAGCTTGCTGCAGCCAGCAACCCCAGGACACTGCTCAACCAGGCAGTCCCTAGCATCTCTCTCTGCAAGAGGTTATTCCTTCCCATGGCAGATGCTCCTCTCTGTCCTTGTTCAATTTCATGAGATTCCTGTTGACCTATTTCTCCATTTTGTTTAGTTTCTGAAAATCCTTCAGGGGCATTCTCAAATATTTTGTCCCATAACTATTACCGTTTTCAAGGAAGGACCTTGTGTTCATACCTCATGAAAAAATCAGAGGCAAATCTATTTGGAAAGGCAGTTTTAAAGGGATAATGCAAAACACAGATACATATGGTGACAGTAGGTGCCATGGTCAAAGTGGGGAATAGAGAACAATATGATATGTTGCTGTTACCATTATTATGGTTTCAATCACATCAGCATGATATGTTGTTTTTTCAGGTAAAATGGTGTGCTCAGGAAATTACTGCAGTTTGGATGTCTGAATATGATGGGACTCCTTGAGTGGCAGAACAAAAAGGTAAGGGAGCAGGGAGACAGCATGTCTTGCTCGCAGTGATTTACAACAGGTTCTTAGGTGAAAGGGCCAAGGTATGATGATCAGCACTCGCTGGGTGTGGTGTGGGCCAGACAGCTCCTCATTGTGTCAGACACTTGAGACTTACACACAGCTGATCATCCCGCTCTGTCCTCTCCAACAGTGCTTCCAGACTTCAGTTTCTCTTGGATAATACCACTATCACCCTGCCTTAAATGCTAGACATAAAGTCGTACAAAAAGTGGTGTTAGTAAGCACTGTCATGAAAAATTAAGGTCCAGGAATTCTGACAACCCAGACCAAATGGTTTGCCACAGAATTTCTACAGCAGAGTGGATCAATTTGTTTTGAAAATCGGATACATGACAGTAATGAGGGCTGCTGACAGGATGCTGCTTAGAACTATTTCCTTCCAGAATATTTTCAAAATTTAGCCAAGGCTGTGCCTGGGAACTCTAAATACAGCAGAATGTCAGCCTGTTTATATGCCTTCCGAAGCTATTTTCAACAGCTCATTCAGATGTGCTGACCAGCAAAAGTCATGCAAGTTTAAACTCTCTCAACTATTTGCCATGTATTATCAAAAAGAGCCATCAAACTGATGTTTCAGTAATGTGGTTTATTTTGCAATTAGTTAGATAATTAAAAGAAGGTTTGTATGGTAACAGAGTAGGTAAGTGAGAATCCAGGAGCAATCATACGTATTTATGATTCTGCCATCACCCACAGCTTCAAGAACAGTGTTCAGCTGTTCTCTGAGAGTTTCCACGACCCAACACAGTATAAAAGCAGGTAGCAGAGTAGTACTGAAAAATAAGAATCTAGCCCATTTCCTACAAAGTTAACAGCTGTGCCTTTAGTAATTTTTACTAGAGAGGGCCAAATTTAAAGACTTGAATCTGACTGTGAACCATACTGTGTCAGCATACCTGTATTGTCTGCTCAACCAGAAAGTGGCTAAGCTCCCCTCTTGAACATAGGACCCCATGAGACTGCAAAATAGGCCTCTCTGTGTTTGTACATGATCTCCTCCTATAGATAGAGATGTAAATATCACATAAAGAAGAGAAGATAATTAGTGAGACCCAGACGTCTTTGTGCTTGGTGGTCTGCAGAAATCGTACTGAGGCTATCTGTACTTCTGAGAAGCCTAAGGATGCATTCCTGAGCATCCCAGAGCCAAAGGGAGTAAATGGAAGCTCCAACCTTGGTCTTTAGAGTTGCCAAGCACAATTCACCAGCCTTCCATGTGATTCTGCTGAAAAGAAATAGAAACTAAGTGTAAAAATCCACAATTAGTAGCAAATGTACTATATAAGAGAAAGGGGAAAATAATTCCTGCATTTAGTAGAAATTCTCTCTGCCTTAAAAAGCGTAAGAGAAGGTACTTCTATTTAATAGAGACTTTCATTTGTAAAAGAAGGTATACCATCTACAAATTGAAAATATCTGTGAAATGGTAACATATTTAACAGAAATTCAATAGCCTTCTTTGTAGCAGCAGCCAAGCAGTATTTGATGTCAGAGAAAAAAAAAAAAAAAAGAAAAAGAAATTCTATTATTAGGGCTCATATTTTTGTTGTTGCTTTTGGATTTTTTTTAATCCCTTATTGCCTAGCAGGTTGTCAGGGCCACCTCCAAGAGCTCTGACAGTCCTTACACTGGGAGCGTCCCTTCCCCGCCTCATTGCGTGATGATCCTCAGCCGGGTTTTCAAACACAATAATGTCTCTGGGTAACAATGTGAAAGGCAGCTGCAGCGAGCATGGAGGTCAGGCAAAGCAGGCTGTGGATGCAACAGCACCTGCCTTTTGCATGCAAAGACGAAGCAAATTACAACATTTGTCGCCAAGGAACTGAGCAGCACCATGTGTGATGGCCTCACGAGCACCATTTTCATCGTGGGCATGGGTATATCTTTTCAAATCTAGAGCAGGGAACAGATGTTTCATCAAAAGACACATTTAAAATAAAGATAATTATGCAGTAAGAAGCTTAATTACATAGGATTATTCAGGTCCACTTAATTGCTTGACAGACTGAGGGCCTCCTACGTATTTGTGACAGAAACACCCTTCTCACTGGGTTACCAAACTCGGTCATGGCTTCGGGACAAATGCAGTTGTTTTACTAATCCAACTAATTCTAGTTTCTGATTTTCAGCTACAACAAGGAAAAGTAAGCAAACTTACCAAGCTTAAAAATATAATTTTATTCCCATAGGCAATGTATTTTCTTCAATAAAACATGAATAGCCTGAACTACAAAAACTTAGTGGTTTTATCACTGTGTAGTATGAAGGACATTAATTTCACTTAGACATGATTTAGATAAAGAGGAGAATCTCCTCTGGTCTTACTGCTCACACATGCCAGTTTTCAGAAGTTTGTTATGCCTTTTCCATGTGGGTATTTAAAAATGGCCTTTCACCACCCCAAAAAGGGATACCTCTTTCTCCACAAGAAAAGTCTTAATACTGTAAAAAAAAAAAAAGTATTTAACTCTAAGAAAGAAATTTAAAAAAAAAAAAATTGCTTAAACGACACAATGTGCACTGTAGAGCAGAACAGCCATTCTGTGGGACTGTATTCTCATGGTAGCTACTGAACTGATCATACTAACACACTTCACAGAAATAAAATGATTTCTGTGAAATTATGCTGACAGGCTTCCAGTGTGATTCTATGGGGTCCTGGGAGCTTACCAGCTGCTGAGCTTGGATTCAGCACTACTCCAAAATACAAAATTAGCGAGGCAGATATGCCATGTGAATCATGCTGAACAGGGAACCCCCCCCATTTACAGAGTCCATGCAGCTGGGGCTTTTAAAGGACACACAGCAACAACCCAGGTGTTCTTTGCTCTTTACATGTTCCAGACAGCAGATCAAATGATTGTTGTGTAGAGAGTTTTGCAATTAAATTTCATCACAGCCCTAAGTGTGTTAGTTCCCCATAGTCAACATGTTTTTTGATAATGTACTGTAGGGCATTAGCAAAGCCACACACCAAATTTATATGTGAGGGGTGTAAATGTGATACTGAAAGCCTGAGCACTAAAATGATCTCTTAATTTTCATCAAAGAGAGCACTATAATATCTGCATCTGTCAAGCCATTGCAGACTTTTCTTGCATAGACAAACTAGGAATGGTTTAACTGCGCATTACTGAACAAAAACAAACAAACTCAAAAAACAACAGATCAAACCTGCAGAAGAATTAACTTTATAAGGAGTTAAAGCTTCTAATTTAGAAAAAAAATCCTTAGTTCAGTCTAAGCTGGTAAATGTAACTTAAAGCTTGGGAAAGACGATTATCCTATAATGGCTCCATTCACATTCACAAACTTGGGGTCATTTTAAACTCCTGCTATGTTTTGGAATGCTGCCCAGAAAACGTTGGTGTGAAAAATCTGCTGAATGCCTTTGCGCTACATTAGCTAACAGTATTTAAGGTCAATAATGCAGGTGCGGGCTTTCCTTCATTCATTTTAAAAACTTAAAGACTTCTTCCTAAACCTCTGTTTATAAAATGGCTTTTGCTCAAACCTCTAAAAAGAAGAAAGAATTGGGGAAAATGAGTAAAGGATACCATTTTGCTGTTATCAGGAGAGAGAACATGAGAGAAGTGCTAATAAATCATAAACCAATAATAAGTTTCAGTGTGGCAACTTAACTTTTAGAAACATGTACCAGCATTTAGTGCACTTGCCAAGCAAATCACAGGAACCTATGCTACTTTCCACACTAATGGTGTCAAGGTGCACGGAATGTTTCCCCCCTGCTGCTTGAGAGTGACATTAGAGAGCTCTGGTGAAGCATATGCCCAAGCTCCTGCTCTGCAGCAGCTATCGTATGCTAGGGTGACACTATGACTGATCACACCCAGGCACTGCTGCAAATGGGCTTTCAGTTATAATGGAAACATTTAGTTCAAAGCACCATATACATTACACGTGTTATTAATGGCTAAAACAGATGCTTCCATCTACTGAAAGGGTTTGTTTTTATATAAAGAAAATCCTCCTGTAAATTTGGATCTTTTATTGGGCTGCATATCAGTCTGAGGGATAATAAGAAGAAAAGCCCCTTCTACTTTGCCTTATATTACAGAAGCACTTAAACTTTTAATTTATGTTTCATATTACCAAATTTATATACATCTACACACATTTTATTACCCATTTTATACAGCTCCGTTTGTTTCTGTTGTAAATTGCACAGTTTCTTAATCACTGCTAAGCATAAAATGCCCCATCAGTAAATTATTCCTACAATAAAATACATGATGTGGTTTACAAATGATGGTTATTAATTTCAGGACAGAGATGTTGCATTTGTATTGTGGCTTATGTTCAATTAACACATTGCTTCATTAATGCAAACTGTCAGCACAGAATTGAACCAGAGAATAAATGAAAATGAAGCACCCTGAAAAGGAATTATTGCTTGGGCTAAACAGAGTAAAAGCTAATTTATCTGTGAGTTTGCTTGTACAATACCACCTGAGGTATTAACGAGCAAATCCAGGAGCACAGATCATGTTTTCAAAAAGAAACTGTCTGATTGCTCTACCTTTTAATGGATTTTTTGTGGAAAGTATTGTGTCTCTGCGCACATGATTGATCAATGATTCTACAGCTGAAGCAGGTGCAGTTCATGAAAGCTACATTACAAGGGGAATACATCTTCAAAAATAAGTCACCCATTTTTTTATTAATTATAAACAAGAATGTTTTCTAGGGCACATGCAGCGCATGAAAGAAAAGAGTGGCCACAGTGGAAACAGTAATTGTGATCCTTTAGATGCAAAGCACAACATTAGTTTTATTTGTCAAATATGATTTTGCTAGAAAAACTCTGTAAAGGACTCTGAAAAACCCCAAGTAAAAGAAGCAGATGGTAATGGTTCAAAACCAAAATGCTGAATTAGACTTTTTTTCAGAAAAGGACAACTTTGTAGGACAAAATTGCTTATATGTTTTGAATTTGAATGCTGCAGAGGCTAAATATAACCCAGACTTCAAACCAAGTGGACTATGTTCTTCAAACATGTGATATATCTCACTTCTTCTTCTGCTCTCTCAGCCTATATGAATTGCAAAGCTTTTTTTGCTCTTGAATAAATATCTGAATGTTTATAAAATACTGGCACCAGAAAACACGTTGGCATCATTAAAATCCCTCTGGATTTCAGCATACTGAAATCTGTTTGATAGCAGGAAAGTTAATTTGAATTAAGTGTCCCCTTTTTAGTAAGACATCGAGCTGTACATGTTTAAGAATAACCCCACAGAGGTTGCTTGGCAAACTTCCCAAAAGCTTTGTGAGACACTACATTTCATTGTGGGGATTTAACACTAGTACTTGTGTATTTGTAGAGAATATTGATTGAGTTGAACATTCTTTAATGGGGCAAAGATATTTCCAGTATTGAAAATCAACTACTTCATAGAAAAATAACAATGTTCAGTGACCTGTAGTTCATATTTTACTGCTAATTCTTTGTATGATATCCATTCATGTGTATGGACTATCTAAGCTCAAATGATGCACATCAGCTCTAGGCAACTTTGCTGTTGTTTAGAACTAGTCCTGAATCAGGATTTACTCTATGTTTCCTTGTACTTGATAAATAACTCATGTAATGGAGTTACCTCATGTAATGCACTTACCCTGAAGGACTTCAAGTGCCAGATTATAAAAGTTTGAATAAAAAATGAGCAGATGAGACAAGGAAGGAAAGGAAAGATGTTTTTCAAAATACGCAAAGAAAACCTTTTGATTATGTAATCCTTATACAGACAATTTTTTGTTTTTCTTTTCAAGATTGACTCATTGTATGAAGAATTCTAAGAATATGGTCATCTCTGACAGGCAGGATGCAGTAAACAAACCCACTGAAGTGCCCAATCTGTTCACGGATACGTTTTTGAGGAGCAGGCTGCAAAATAATTTTGTCTGCCAGAGACTGCTAATATTTACCTGAGGGTTATGCACTTGAAAAATATGACTTCACATTTAATACTTGAATATCATATTTTTAAGTATTCAGGAGTGGCTCAAAAATTGTCCATCTGGAAGAAAAGGAAAGGTAAACAAAACACCTCAGACTTGTGTTTAATGCAGTGTGATTTAAGGAAAAGCTTTATTTTGTTACTGTTTCCTCCTAAACATAATGCATAGCCTCATTTTTGAAGATGTTTTTTCTCTTCTGTATAGCCTTAGAGACCTTACTCCCACAATGCCTGCTAGTTTTTCCCTTTGATAATACATGACTACAGATAATAGACTTTCAGTGTCACAGATTCTGAACAAACTCATGCTTATATATCAGAAAATGCCACTTTTCTTCAGATACATTTTTAGTTATAAATGCCTTGCACGTTTCAGTGGCTTTCTCATGCTGAGTACTTCATCCAGGCTTGGATCTCATCCAGCTCTCACCACAGGCAGTGGCAAGAATCTTACTGGCTTCACTAGGACTAAATGAAATTCTGTGGGTTTTATCTTCATTTCTATGTGTTCAGTCCCAAGCGCAGCACTTAAACAGATGCTTAGACTTATGAGTAGTCTTATTCAAATCAAGGAATCATTCACATATCTGTAATTAAGTACAGGCAAAGGTGGGAGCATGTACACATATATGTGTATGGTTATATGTATATGCTGTTAAATTACTGAGGGTGGCAGAGCTTGTGGAAGAATATGACTTACCACTCAAGTGTAACTTAAGTGTTCGAGTCACAGAATCATGGAACTATAGAGTATCTCAAGTTGGAAGGGGACCACAAGAATCATCTAGACCAACTCCCTGCTCCTCTCAAGATTACCTAAAAACTAAATCATATGACTAAGGGCATCATCCAGTCACTCCTTGAACTTTGACAGGCTTGTTGGCGAGACCACTTCCACAGGAATTTGTTCCAGTGGCCAACCAACCTCTCAGCAAAGAACCATTCCGAATATCCAATCTGGACTTCCCTTGAAAGAGTTTTATTCTAAATCCTCCTGTCTTATTTCTGACCAGCAGAAAGAGGACATCAGTGTCTCTACCTCTGCTGCTAACCCTTGAGCAAGATGTAGCCTGTAATGGACTCCTTCTCTTCCCCAGGATGTACAAGCCAAGTTGTCTCCGTCTCTCTGGGTGCCTCCCAGTGAACCCCGGCCAGCCCCGGGTCGGCAAACAGCGGGGGGGGCAGCCCCGAAGTGACCGACAATGGGGGGACACTCTCTGGTGCCCTGAGGGTACTGAGGGCAGCTAGGCTAGTCACCTTTGCATCAGAGGAGACGCTGGAGACATTGGTGGAGGGTAAAAGGCCGACTCTGAACAGGGGGCCAGTCCAAGGTTTATTCGGAGCTCCCCAGGGAGCCCCTCTCCTCAGGGTGCGCCGTGCTCAGAGCAAGACAAAGGAGTCTCGAGGTTACATTTAAAGGGGGGGAGGAAACCGAGGGTAGATACATTTGCTGACCAATAAAGACCCTCCAGGGATACAGCCTTAGGGGATGGACATTTGGGATAGCGTATAACATCATCCTTGGGGGGCTGACCCCTGGCTTCGGGCTAATCACTCGACAGCTTTGACCGAAAGATCTAGATAGAAGGGATGGGATGCTGAGTGACTGACAGAGAGCCAGGGCGGGGATTTGGGGGATGATCTCAACACAGGAGAATGGTTACACAGGTAGAGGAAGGGGGTACAAAAAGGGGTACATCATCTGGGGAGAATAAGGGGGTACAAAATCAGAACTATTACAAAGTATAAAAGCACACTGCAACACCAAGTGACTTCAGCAGCTTCTTTTAAGTCCTGCCTCTGAGGCATTCTACCATCTTATTTGCACTCCTCTGGATACACTGCAATAGTTTGATGTCCTAAGATTGTGGCACCAGAACTGCCCCAGCACTGGAGACGAGGCTGCCCCAGTGCAGAGCAGAGCAGGACAATCCCCTCCCTTGCCCGGCTCTGATGCTGTGCCTGATGCCCCCAGGGCACGGGGCCCTCCTGGCTGCCAGGGCACTGCTGGCTCATTGCCAAAACCCAACTCTACCCAAAACCCCAGATCTCTTCCTACAGGGCTGGTCTCCAGATAGTCTCTATTCCACGTATTTTTCAGAAGTCAAACACTTGAAGAAACTATTCCTGTTTGAGGAGGCCTTCATTATATCTGACATTCTTCACAAGTAAATGATTTTTTTTTTTTTGTTTGCCTTATCTCTAATGATCAGATGAATAGTCTGGGTGCATGATTTTAAATCAATAGATTATTAAAGCATTGTTCAACTTCAGTTTGTTTGCAATCTATGATTAATTACTTGAGTGTTTAAGTTCAGTTTTTGAGTGTTTTCAGTACAAATGCCTGAAACATCTGAGAACAGGAAAAGAAGGAGTAAAAAATTATAAGTAATACACAGTCAAAGTGAGCACACTTGTTAACACGTGAATGGCTTGGTGCAATGTGAAAATAGATGTTGATATGAACAAAATGTCTTGATAATTAGTACAATTAGAAAACTGCCTGTGTAAAATACTTAAACCAGTATTGTTGCTGTATTCAACCCTCTGTAGTTAGTTCAGTCTATCCATTACCAAATAAATGCACAGTAGTAAAAGTGGCACGCTGCTCAAATGAGAAAAACTAATTTTTGCAGGGAGAAAGGGTATTGAGCATTCTATGGTGCAGGTATAGTACAGAAGCAAAAGCACAAAAGCATGGAAACAAAAATAAAAAAGTTGTTAGTGCAACTGACAAAGGATTTCACTGACCCATTGCAGATGGTACTGTTATACTGACAACTTAATTAGTCACTAAGAAAAAGGAATTTCAATTAAAATGGTCTAGATGATACACAGCATGCTTTTCCTACCCATGTGACAAGACATATTTAAAAAAAAAAAAAAAAAAAGAGCAGTAAAAATAATAACAATAAATAACCTTTAAATACAATACAATTTCAAAGATTTTGAATAATGCCTAGGATGTAGAGGGTAGCTACAAGCAGCACCAGGAGTGCAGCTAGCTTCTGTGCATGAGGACAGTTGAACTGTGAGCACTTCAAGTTTTTATTCAGACAATTACAGGAAAAAAGGAGCCTGAGGAGGTAAAATAAATACTTAACGTGGAAAAGAATGACACAGAGAAAAAAGCCCTGTGATGAGAGATCTGTGACCAAGAGGACACAGGTGTGGACCTGGTTTTCTCTGGAAGTCTGTTGCAGACCCTCATCTGGAGTTTGATGGCATCTCACAGGTTCCTGGGGAAACAGCCTACCCTGTGCAGGACAGACATATTCGTCTTCTTCTTCCAGAATTGTAGGACAGAGATTCCAGCAGAGGGAAAGCATACATAAAAAAAGAGATGGGAAGACATAAAGTATTTGGTGTCTTAAAGGTCACAGAATTAATCTATCAATGAAAAAGAGAGCAGAATGCAGTGATAACTGTATTGCTTTTTTGTTTTTTTTTAAATATTCTGGAATTGATTGAGTTGGGAAAGAAAAATCATGTTGAGGTTGGCAAAGCAGGTATGAACAAGTGTTCATGGAAAGAAAACTGTAGAATCTTACAGTCTTAGTTCTCACATGATTTTTTTTTTTAGAATTGTTTAATAAAATACATCATCTAACTCTTTTACATTGAAATGGTGTGCCTGGGAAAAGGCAATGCTTTCAAAATAGCTTTTTCTCATACTGATAAAAGCAAGAAGCAACTTCACTGGGAAGTGAGTTGCACTCCTGCAAAAACAACTTTAGAAACATAGAACTGGGATTGTGTCTCTTGTCAAATGCACAGACACTGAGATTAACTCTGATTGTAATTGAGAGCAGAAGTTGAAGTTGTCAATTTACAGCTGAAGTGCTGCCTATTCGTTAAACATTTGCTTTGTCTAAATGTGCTTATGCACATTTAAGAAGAGAATCAGGGGTTCAGCATACGCAAATATTCCTTTACCTAGTAGAAAATTAAACATCTTTAGATAGACCTTGGAGCACGTAATACTAAAAAATATAATACTGTCAGAGAGAACATTTAACATATATAGAATGCTAATCACAGAGGAAGAATTTTGTTGCTCTTTATCTCAACATTTAGCTTAAAGTAGTTGTACAACCCCAAGCTTTAACACTGGCTGGTGGGCTGCCATAATTTTGAAACTAGCTTGTCACTATGCCACTATGCTACAGAAACCATTGGTGCCCCAGATGGTTTGTTGTTCTGGAATTTAGTTGATCAGAAGGCATTGATAGGAATTTGAGGCAAGTATTTCAGTGATGTGGACAGTATTTTAATGAAAGCTTATCCAGCTACTGAGCTTGATAGGAAGTTGCTTTTCTCCTTGAAACCACAGCAAAACAGCAATTGTAACTATGTTGTAACCATTACAATTGTAAAACAAATATTTTCTATTAAACAAATTAAAATGCATTTCATATATGTTGATTTGTTTACATTTTTTTAATAATTAATTTTTTCTTTGTTTTCTAGGACTGCTCTTTTCAGAATTGTAGTAGAGAAAACTCATTCCTTATCTGAAAACCTCTTTTGTGTTTGGCTTATGAACATAAAGGTATTAGAAAGTGTCTTAAACTTTTTTTGAAGCTCCAGCATATCCTGAAAACGTTCTGCCATGAAAATATATATAATATCATTTCCTGAAAATGTTCTCATTACAGCAGAAAGTCAACTTCAAGTATATGGTAAACAATTAAGTTTCATTTACATTTTGTCATTAGGTGTCACTTACATTTTGCTGTGACTTTAACAGGCATCATATACTTTATTTCAAATCTTTACTAAATTCATACATCATGAATTTAAACATCCCACATTTTGACATGTTATTCCACATGGTAAGTGTCAGTTTTTTTAACAAAACCTAAGAATAACATAAGATTAAGATCAAATTGAAATGAAATTAGTCTGAAATCTAAAAGCTCAGCTAAGTCATTTACAGCAGCTTCATAAAAGGATGAGATATGAAATGCAAATTCTCTCTGGCATTAAATAAAATAAGTTTAAACCATGTCATATATTATAAAGGTACATTTTTGAAAGACTGTCATTTATTAGAGCATAGATATTAATAGGAGATCAATATGTAGTGCTGGATTCTAATTTTAAATTGTTGGGTAAATGTGTATGGTAATGAAATAGGGAATTTTGTGATTACACCCTTTGCCAGAAATGGTGTAAATTTAACCATGCAGCATAAAGTAATATTTTTTAATCTTTAATTATATTCCAAGATTTTAATAGTCAGATGACAGACTATCCAAGGAAGAATTACTGTCACTCCTTTTAAGCTCTGGAAAACAATGCTCTGAAACATTTATTTCTCTCGATTAAGACTTTCTCATTTTCAGCTTATTTGCTTTTTGTAGTCATCTTACAAAACAGTACTAAACAGTACTGCAGTGATTTTGCTGTTCATCTTTTTATAAAGAATTTTTATCTGCTCTGAGGATTTCCATTTACCAAGTCCCTGATTTTTTTTCCTCAATACAAAAGAAATGCTCATCTGCAAATGACTTTTGTTCAGCACAGAATTGTGAGGATTCATGTGGTAAAAATCACTTGTTAGGTACACTGTAACACACGGCCTTGTGGTGTTGTGACTAAGTTTTTGATATTACTGGTTTTGTGACACGAGTTCCTATTGTAGGTATTTTAATAAGAACTAATCAGAATACTGGAGAGCCAATAGCGGGGACAATACATCCTATTCTGATCTGTGCCACTGCAACATGTAAGCTAATAATTACATTCTTTTTTCTGTTCTAGTCTGCTCTTCTTCAGAAAGGGAATACCTGCTTGTGTAAGAATGACACAAATTTTAGCTTCACCCCTAGTTTTCCAGGTGCCCATGGACTGGCAGCACCAGGGTGCCGTCAGCATTGTGGTACACCTGAGCTAACAAGACATGGTGCAGAAATAATTTAGGACTCTCACACCCCTGTCTGAGCTTTTAATAGATTATTTTTCCTCTCCTTGGTGTGTCTGCTCTCATTGATGAGAGCTTAAACATTTTTCAATCACGTTCTGTAAAATGTCACATATTGCACCCCTGGTCTATGTCTCCTAAGCCAAAGTTCAATGCAGCTAGCTTAGCTGAGGCAACAAACTATTTACAGAACTAGTTTTGCAGCTCTACACCTGTATTGTCTTAGACACCTCATCCGGAGCATGATAATGAAGAATTAACTTGATGATCCCCAAAC